ACTTCGTATATCGCGGTCTAAAAGTACCTTCCCATGAGAAATTCTACACAAACTATACATTGTTCGAAAACTTATGAGTAGGCCAACAGGCTGGCGAACGGGCAAGTCCTGAGGACAAAGACTTTGGGAGAAAATTCAAGATACAGAACATTATTCCTCTTTGTTCAGTTAAGCTGCAGTCTTGAGACCCAAGAGTTCAGGAGAAAATGTAAGATGTAGGACATGATGCCATCATCAGTTACCTCTTTGTGCAGTAAATCCAATAGTAATGCCAGTCAGCGCCAGTGATGCTCTCTATATTGCGGCACATGGGAAGTTCTACACAACCTATACGTTGTTCGAAAGCTTATGAGTAGGCAACAAGCTAAGGTGGCAAACACAGTCATGTGGTTGCTAAGGCAAACCGTCTGCCTTGTTCAGCAAAGTTAAGTAGCAAATCCGATAAGTACTTAGACGCTTTAGCAGAGCAGTGAAATTCATGCAGCACAAGAAAACATGGCCTTTTGAGCGTTGTGTTTCTCAGAAAATATGCTCAGTACGATTGAAATGTTAAATTATAACGGAAGAAGAAATTCTAAACTTCATGTCAGTGAAAAATCGCCGTCATCGATGCCGAAACGTCAATACTGGTTACTGATAACGCTGACCTTCAAGTCTGGAAGAATTCGTTCGAAAACCTCCCCAAATCTAGGTATTTATATCAATTGCTAGGAATTTCTCCAAATTATTTCACGAGTAGTTGAAACACTTATATCATGCAAGTATATTCCGAATTTCAGTTTAATCTGTTGTTGCAAACGCTAGTGTTACACCTTGAACTATCTCCAAGGAAAATTTTGACTACGATTTTCTGACGTTTCAACCATTATTTGCATTGTTCAGCAAAGCGCTGTAGGCGCTACAGTTGACCGATTCCGGCCAAGCAACACAATAACGTATGGTAGATTAGCATATTCATTAGCGTCCCTCGGCGTGTTTTGGCCTGGGTTTCGGTATCGACCAATGGAAGCCGGCAACAAGGGTGATACATATTAATTAATAACTCATGAAGGAGGATTTTCTCCAAATTTTACTGCACAACAATGGATAGGAATCTTATTAATATCCGTGAGGCTTTGAACGATTGACAAATACATGTATTGCAAACGCCAGTGTTACAACTTTCAAAAATGCACGTAGCCAGGCCTATTTTTCTAATTTCAACGAAAAACAATGAACATAATCACAACGATTTTAGCACATACTTGGATCATTATTAGGGAAATATATTCTGAAAGTTACCTGAAGATACTGTCTTCCAAACTGCAGAAATTAATTTTCAAAGATTTCACCCGGCAACGTGAACATGTCTGTGTACATGTATTTTTATTCAAAATTAAGTGTTACGTAACCTTTAGAAATCACCCGTCGCAACAACAAGGCTGAACAGGAAAGTCTCGAGACTCAAGATTTTTGGACGGAGAAAATGCAAGACGTAGTACATGATGCCACTAGTTACCTCTTTGCGCAGTAATTCCAATAGTAGTGTCTGTTGCGCCAATGATGCGCGCTCTCTATATCGCAGTCAAAATATTAAGGTAACTTCACATGAGAAGTTCTACACAAACTATACATTGTTTGAAAGCTTATGAAAAGGCCAAGAAGCTGGCACAGTACAGGCAAGTCTTGAGACCTAAGATTTTTGGAGAAAATGCAAGATGTAGTACATGCCAGTAGTTTTCTCTGCGCAGTAAATCCAATAGCATTCAAATATCGACTGCTTCGAGGGAAACTAGAGTGTTCCATGGATCACCGAGGGAGGATAGTTTTACTACACCACGAGATAAAGCAGTCAGTATTTGTTTTATAACACCTCTCCCATAGATTATGCTTGATTTTAGGACGATAACTGATTACTTTAATCTGAATATATAATATAAATATAACTTGTATTTGAATACGAAATTAGTTGAAAGTGAACTTGAACTTTTTCTAACAACCCCTTCACGAAATGTTTGAACCCAGCTCTGTAGCGCGCAACGGGCAACACACACCCCCTATGCATTTTTTAAAAACAGTGCGTATAGTACTTTGGTTGCTATGGTTATAAATGTAGTACTTTTGGCCAGCACACTGAAAGATAGCAAAAATAGAAAGTAACATGTGACTCGCTCTCAGCCAATCAAGACACAGAATCTGTAAGGGAGGTGTTATAATAATGCCTGTAAGCGCCAGCGATGCGCGCTCTCTATATCGCAGTCAAAAGGTAGCTTCACATGAGAAGTTCTACACAAACTATACGTTGCTCGAAATCCTATGAGTAGGCCAACAAGCTGGCACACAGGCAAGGCTTGAGACCCAAGATTTTTGGAGAAAATGCAAGATGTAGCACATGATGCCACTACATGTAGTTACCTCTTTGTGCAGTACATCCAATAGTAATGCCTGTAAGCTTATGAGCAGGCCAACCAGCTGGCAAACAGGTAGTCTTGGCCCTAGCCCTGTTGTGCCCATTCTTGAAAATCACGCATTCTCGAGAATGGGCATGCATCCTTGCTCAATCTTGGCAAAAAATAACTCTTCCAGATTGAGCGCACATTCTTGAGAATGCGCGACAAGATAACGGTCTTGTCGATGCCGAGCACCGGCTGCGCTTGGCAAGTCTAGCTGCATCCTCGTGACCTCGTTCACTGATTCTCAATAATTATAAGGCGCTGAAAAGTAGAGTGGATATGATAAGTAAAGGCGTATTGATATGGGGGGGGGGCGGGAAAAAATAAGAGACATAATAATACTAGTGCAAAGAATTCTGATTTTTGGGATAATAAAAGCGGGGGGGGGGACGTAAGAATGAAGAATGTGAAGAATGAGAATGAATACTGCGACATCCCATAGTGCTAATGCTATTTCCCATTTAAATTGCCACCAATTTATTGTTCACACCCCACCATAACGTCGCAGAGCTGGATTCTATCTAGTCAAAAGAGCAATTTTGGCAGCTTCTGGACATCGTTTTTTTTTCGTGGCACGCATATGATACATGCAGGGACTTGTAACTTGTCTAGCCTAAACAAAGCACTTCCCAGACTAGTTCCCAGTCCTCCGTTATTACAAAACTTCCCATAGTGGGCAGAAAAAAGCAATAATAACAGGTTTAATTTGATTCAAATTATCGTAGTTATACGAGTACGGAAGCATGGAACATTTTCTTTCTTCTTTATATGAATTGTTTCCCTTTTAACCGCTACACAATACATAATTATGTCGTGCAATGTTTGTTAAGATTGGGCAAAATTCATAAATTGTGCACGTGATATTCCCACCCAATCTTAAGAATGAGCGCTCATTCTTAAGAACGCGTGCTCGTTCTTAAGAATTGGCGCTCATTCTTAAGAATGCGCGCCCATTCTCGAGAATGCGTGATTTTCAAGAATGGGCACAACAGCCCCATAAATGTGGCCCATTTACTGGACTGCCTCCGTAAACATAGGCCACACATCCACATGTACAAAAACGTGTCGCACTTTGCCAAATTTTGATTTTCACATTTAGGCTTACTTTGTAGGTTTTTTTTGCTTTAGAAGCATTCTCACCCTCTTTATAGGCTAATCAGAAAGTGCTGCCTTTTTCAGATGTCTAATTTTTGTGAAATTTCATGTTGAAATTTTGATACGCAAACGTGTGCAAATGTATCTGGAAATTTCACGAAAAATGGACATCTGGAAAAGGCAGCACTTTCTGATTAGCCTATAAAGAGGGTGAGTATGCTTCTAAAGCAAAAAAAACCTACAAACTAAGCCTAAATGTGAAAATCAAAATTTGGCAAAGTGCGACACGTTTTTGTACATGTGGATGTGTGGCCTATGTTAACGGAGGCAGTCCAGTAAATAGGCCACATTTATGGGGCTATCTTGGCCCAAGACCAGCTTTCTTTTAATTTGTCTACGTGCAGTTGGTATAAAGTGCGTGCTGGCAAGCACAGCCAAACGACATCAACGTAGAGGGCGCTATCGACGAGACTAACCAAATCAGGGGCCAAGTTCGGGCAAGGACCATTAGTCGACTAGTGGTTGATTTGTGACGTACCTTACGCCTGCGCACTGATTGCAACGTGCGAACGTCTCTAGTCAAACGCTGGTCAAAATGTCATCGCAAAACTTAAGCGATATGAATGTGCGCGGCTATTGGTTACAAGCGAAGCAACCAACCCCAGTAGGCTGGTTCCAAATAGTCGACTAGCGTAGTCAACCATCGTCGACTAGACAGAGTTCGGGCAAACGTTAGTTAACCATTGGTCAAACTATAGTCCTTGCGCGAACTTGGCCTTAATTTGGTTTGTCTCGTCAATAGCGCCCTCTACCGTTGATGTCGTTTGGCTGTGCTTGCCAGCCAGCGCGCGCTATATACCAACTGCACCAATGAACTGCACGTGGACGAAAATAAATCAAAGGCGGTCTTGGGCCAAGACTAGTGCCGAGTTGGCTAGGTACCGAGATGGCTAGGTGCCAACTAGGTGCCGAGTTGGCAAGGTGCCGAGTTGGCACGTGCCAAGTTTTTGACACTCCCAAAATTTCCTTCCTTTACAACTGGTACTCGGTAATCAGCATTACATCGTGTGTTGTGCTGATGTCGGTAACTTTGGCACCTAGCCAACTCGGCACCTTGCCAACACGATGTAATGCTGATTACCAAGTACCAGATGTAATGGAAGGACATTTTGGGAGTGTCAAAAACTTTTTGGGGGGGGAGGGTGTGGAAGCAAGTCACTGAAAAGAAGGAAAGAATGTAGCATCCAAACACCACTTCTCATGTTGTGTACAAAGTCTATGGAGAGTCGAGAACATTTTCAAAGTATTCTAACAAAATTGGAAATGTTTCTTAGTCCAAGATTCATGTCTTCTACCTTTGGCAATGACTGACCTTCATTGAGATATATAATGAAAAAACGTGGCGTCAGGATGCAACTGCTTTCCCCTATTCCCCAATCTGAATTTCACAGGAGCAAGACAGACATCCAGGCAGAATCTTTCACTTTACATTTTTAATATTTGTATTATTTTAAGATCCTTTTCACAAAGTTTCATTTGTAATTACACACAGTGAAATTCAACTTCAAAAAGATCACTGATTTTGAGGTCTCGTTTACCTTTGGGTGACTTTAGCAGAGCAGGATTGATTTTGAAAAAAGGCAAAAACTTGCACAGTAAATTAATTTCTTACACATGATATGAATATTTGAAATAATTTGTACATTACATAATTACATTTGACTTTCTTAAATACAGGTGTGACACTGTGACCTAAAAGCTTTATTTTGCTACACCAAAAAAATAGAAAAAAAAACGATCAAGCATCTATTGCAAAAGTTCAAGACAAACAAAAGAAAATCAGACACAGTCCCCCCCCCCCCTCCACTATTTGAATTTCACACAAAATCAACATTTTGACAAAATTACACCCTCTGTGCATTTAAAAATTTGGTAAAATGGAAAGAAAAAAAACCAAGGTTTTGTGTTAACTTCACATATGACTGACATTACTATGTCATTAATTGTTTGGATTTTTTTCAAAGACTTCAGCTTCATCTTCTTGCATCACCTCCATCATGAGACAGCCAGGCATTGGTTGACGACCTCCAGTAAGTGGTTGTTCTCCAGTGCTGCTGCCACACGCTCCTTGTCTGCAAGCTGCTTGTTCACTGATGGAGAAACACAGATGACGAAACTAGACGTCACTTCTTCTACTAGCTAGTGTCGATAAGAATTGTTCAGACTTTGAAGATTAAGAAAACAACTAGCTTTTTGAAATGTACAAAAAACACAGAGCTGTGTTAAGTTAGTATAAGGCATAATATCAATTTTATCGCAAAGGACACCTTTAACAGCAAATGCATTGTGCTAGCTATTGTTCAGATGATCCGTCATGGGGCAGTTGTTTTGTACAATAGCATGCACAATGGTTTCTCCATTGAAGGGGGCCTCGTGAGTAAAGAGTGTTCACGTTTCCGGATCTGTCTATACTGAACTGCTTTGTTATCCATGTTTAACATTTTCTTATCAAAAGGAGATCACAAACAAAAGGAAATGACATCTAAAATCCTCAAAAAACCTGATACCAAAATTGTACAGTGTTCCTTTTTGTTTTGTTCTCAAGATCATGCAGTGAATGGAATAAAATTCTGAACCAAAGCAAAGAAATGGAGAGGGGGATTAATTCTTTGATTTAAAGGTAATATTCAGCATTTGCTTTTGAAGTAATTTTCAAAAATGAATGGATTTGGGGGTTAGTATTTTACAGCAAATGTTGTCACACTGACCTGTTTACAGTTTTGTGTTCATATAGATGCTGGAAAATCCAAGGGAAAAAAAGCTCTTCCTGTAGTCTGGCTCCCTGACCCTATTTCAGACTATACATTATTCGGATAATGTATAGTTCTGAGCGCCTAATACGCAGCTCGAATCCTCTCCAAAACATCATCCAATATTATACAAATAATGAATGTTTGTGAGTGCAATGGTAAGAATAATTTCATGAGGTGACAGATGAAATGTTTCATTCCAGTGTTTTTGATTGGCCCGTCTGACGCCGCCTGCGGTTCTAGCGTCCGTATTACGTACGTTGCCGACATGGGCCTGGGATACACGTTGCTGTGATATCATCTGCACGTGGTGCTAGTCTACGTATGTTTGGTTAGCAAAAAAATCTCTGTTTTGGAGGATAAATTTGGTGATATTTTGGAGGCAAAGTGTACGCGAGTTTTGAGTGCGAGACTGAGATAGGTGACTGAATTTATTCTTCAAATGTCCCCGTATACGCCACCTGGAATATAAGCTACAGGGACATTTTTCACTCAGCGTGAGAACCATGCCAACGTAAGCCGTGGCTTATCGATAATTAGGGTAATGTGACGATGTACTTTCTTATTTTTAATAAATTTCATTCCTCAGTAGCGATATTTTCGATGTATATTTCAATATCGATGTTTTCGAAGTTTCGATATTTCGATATTTCTCCAAAATCGGATATTTTCGATTTATCGATTTTATCAAATAAGTAACATCGGCGATATCGATATCAAACCAATATCGATAAAATCGATATATCGACGGTGCTTACAACTCACATCACATTCATACCAAATCTATGGCCAACGGACATTTCATTATGCAGCACCAGACGAATGGAATAAATTACCTCACCAAATAAAGATCAGCCCATCTTTGGAAAATTTCAAATCACAATTTAAGACACACTTGTTTAATGCTTTCAGAAGCGCAAAGAGACCTTTTTTGTGTATTTTTCGCTCTAAGAATTGTTTTTTACTATTATTATTAAAACTGAGCAAGTTATAGACGTCGGGGAATTGTCAGGTCAGGGAACCAGACTAGCTAGCTTGCAACCGTTCATGAATGTGTTCATGAACGAATGCAAAGAAAATGTGGACTTACTAAATTTGGTCAATTGGGGGCAGTATTGGAGAAAAAAAATCAGTTTTTTTCCCAACAATTGTCGGCCGACCATCGTTGGAAATTGATACAACAATTTCACACTTGCTGAAAATGACCGCACACCAGGTGCCATGATTTCACAGCACGATTGAGACTATTAATCACTTACAGTCAAGTAAGGTACTTCATAGTCATTTATTAGGTTATTTATGTGTGCAAATGTTGTACATTACCTTTAAGGGAAGGAGAATCAATAAGAAATTCCTTATTTCGTAGTTTTCTTACCTGCTTCTTCCGAAGCGTGACTTCCAGGAGTTATCTTGACATCAACCTGAAGAAAACGGGTGAACAATAAAACTTGCAATGAAACATTTCTAAAGAAAACTTTGGATGACAAACAACGAGATTCTCAAAAGGAGGAGAAGAAAGAAATCCTTTGATAATAATAATGAGTGTTTAGAAAGTGCATGTATCCACCATTATTAGTGCTCAAGGTGCTACATCATTATTAGCCTGCTCATTGGGCCAGTGAAACATTCCAAATACCATCTCAGCTCCCTGGGGAGTATACAGCTCGATGCTGCCATTTCGGCGCAAAGCAGCTTAAATCAACCACAATTTAACCACATCTGCCCTCACAGGTACATGTACCCATTTACTCCTGGGCGGAGAGAAGCAATGAGTAACAAAGTGCATTGCCCAATGGCACAAGCACCATAGCCCCAGCTGGACCAAGGGCGGATCCAGAACACAATTTTTTTGGGGGGGGGCCAAAAAAATTGTTTGGCCCCCCAAAAAGTGGGTCAAAAAAATTACGGCGTGGGGTTCGGGGCCCGCTTAAGGGCCCCGAACATTTTTTGGATTCTAGATGCTCTGTGGTGCGATCTGAGGCAATTTCTGACCACTTTAACCAATGTTTTTTTGAGAAAAAATGGTGGTGTACTCATTGCCTGCCTTTATTGCGATGTCACATAAAAATAAAAAAAAGTTGGTCTCGTTTTTTTTTGGGGGGGGGCCATGGCCCCCTTTGGCCCCCCCCCCCCCCCCCCCCCGGATCCGCCCTTGAGCTGGACTCGAACCTACAACCTGCAGAATAACCCGCAGACCAAAAAATTCAATGCTCCACACCACCAGGCCAAGGCGCGCCACATTTTAGCCTTGAGGAGGTTATAATAGAGTGTCAAGATCTCACCTTGAATCTTGGTGGTAGCGATCGGATAAGCTTGACCCGGATGGACAGACCAATCAGAGTGGCCATACTGCAGTGAGGTATTGTGGGAGTAAACATGATCTTGACCCGGTTTTCTTCATCGTTAACCTACAATTAAGACAATAAAAAAACACAGAAATTGGCTCATACTTGTTTCCAAGACAGAAAATGCTTATGCCCCCAACCCCTCCCCCCCAAAAAAAAAAATTAGCCTCGAAACAGAATCAATAAACAAATAAATCTTTCAAATTACATTTGTTTTTTACACTGATGTGATCACAAAATTTTCACTAGATTTTAATAGCCAAAAAGTTTTCCTGAAGTTGTAAATTAATCAAACAAATGTATCACCCCTGCCTATCCAAAAAGTCCCCCATAATTAAATGTTTTAACTGTTTTACCTCAACTTGTGAATGAGACACGACGTTCAAATCTTCCAAGCTGTACGGATGTTCAGGGTCATTAATGTGCCTGATAAGATGTGGAAAGATGGTCAAGAAATCAAACTATCCAAAAGATGAAACTATACAAAAGGGCAGTGTATATGACTGTGATGAACTGGTCCCGATTTATTTTGGCTCTTTTTTTACCCGCAAAGCACTGAACATGCACAGTGAGTGATTTTTGGGACATAGACATGTTTACCATGATGAATGTTTGTCTGGTTCCATGCTTTCATTGTTGTTGTGACTTTGTACTCACGAGATGGAAATGAGACCTAATGCATTTTCGGACTTTATTTCCTTTTTTTAAAAATCCAGAGCCACGAATCAGAAAACGAAGATGAGATATTCTGCAATTAAATGTAGGATTCAATTTACAACCAAAAAAGAAGACAATTATTACTTTTTTTGGGGAGATTGACAAAAAATTAAAAATGAGGGCAATGATGGAGGATCGACGATGGAGGATCGAACTGCACTGTCGTGATTCTGACTCTGAGTTTACTCCCATTACCCATTAGGCCACACGATTGCTTGGGTTTGGATGGGAATTGATGGGCCTACTTCAACGTGCGCATGAGGGTGTTGTATGATGTGCCGGGAATTGTGCCAGGAATTGCGGGACCAGTTCATGGTAATCACTTTGCTAAGAAGATTAAGATAATAATAGACTCACTTTTTTAGTAGGGACCACACACAATTTTTTAAAGGGTTTTAAAGCAACTTTTTGTGTCAAGTGAGAGAAGACATATATCTAGGCTCATTAGCTGTTTGAATTTTCGAAAACAGATAAGGGATTAGGCCTACTGAAATATGACCTTTAAAAAATTCTTCTTCAACTTATTTATTTGCTCACTTCTCTATGGCCGCCGTGGAAAAACTTTGCATGTATCTGCCTTGTTTACATACTAGGTAAAGTCCCCTGATTCTTCAATTCTGAAAATCACCCCTCGCCCCCCCCCCCCCCTCCCCCAATCATGCGTCACGCCCCGCCCCGGCCACTGTCTCTACACAAACACCATGACACGCCGACACTGCACTGCGTACCATCCGAGTCTCACGCGTCATGTTAAAAACCGGGAAAGTTAACAAAATGCATTGGTAATATAACTCAAAAGGATATCGAAAATCTCCCTGGCATCGATCTTGTCCGCGACATCATCGTTATCATCGTCCGCGGTGATTTCCCTGTCCGGTAACCGTTTGTGAATCGTGGGATTCACGTTGTCAAGTCTCTCACCATCTTCCATGTTAATTTCAATGCGTGCGTTTACAGTGGATATGACACAGTAAGGGGAGGCGCGGTTAAGCTGTCACTTTTGCAGCTTTTCTTTAGCCATGTGGGGGTGTCGGTACTGTTGGTCTATACGTTCTAGAGTTGTGTTGACGTAAACTATTTATTGTACAGAAATGGCGGCGAATGAAAAAGATGAAGCTTTGGGCAGAATTCAGGTGAATTTTTCATTGTCACATTGCATAGATATTGGTCTAAAAATAAGTATTTTATAAATTTGTAACAATAAAGAATTTATATTGAGTTTAATATTGCGGGAAACATGTATGATTATTGGTTTAAATTGCAGGTCATTTTTTTTTTTAATTAAACTTTAAAGGGAATGTACATCATTGGCTTTTGCTGTAATTTTCAGAAATAAACTATTTGAGAGGTTAGTATAATAGATCAAATATTGTTACACTGACATTTTTGACAAGTTTTGTGTTCGAAAAGGTTGGAAAAACCAAGAAAAACAAAAATGTTCAAGTAGTCTGGTTCCCTGACTCCACAAAAGATAAAATGGATCAATTTATAGATGATGGAAAATTGTAAGGCAAGGGAACCAGTCTAGCTGGCCTGCACCCGTTCATGAACATGTAACCAATAGCAAACAAAATTTGGACTGAAAGAATGGTAACTTTGGAGCAGTAGTTTAAAAATAGTTAGGTTTTTCCAACGCTGGTTGGCCGACCAGCGTTGGAAATGTTTACAAAAATACCATTTTCTTGAAAATGACTTCACACCAGGTGCCATAATTTTACAAGATGCTTGAGACTGTCATTTACCAACATCATATGATGCAACATTTGAGACCAGGTTCACAGACTGTACGTCATGTAGATACACTACACGCTACACACTTTTCACAGACCACACGTCGTGTAGATACACTACACGCTACACATACTGAGCATGCGAAACACCCCTCAATATAATATTAATGGGAACATGGAGCTTTAAAACACAGCTCCATGATTGGAACTAGTTTCTGCCACAGTGCCAGAGCTTTGATGTCTACAGCATCGACACAGTGCTAAGGAGGTCTACATCATCTACACAGTGGTTAAGGGGTCTACATCATCTACACAGTGGTTAAGAGGTCTACAGCATCTACACAGTGGTTAAGAGGTCTACAGCATCTACACAGTGCTAAAGAGGTCTACAGCATCTATACAGTGGTTAAGAGGTCTACAGCATCTACACAGTGGTTAAGAGGTCTACAGCATCTACACAGTGGTTAAGAGGTCTACAGCATCTACACAGTGCTAAAGAGGTCTACAGCATCTACACAGTGGTTAAGAGGCCTACAGCATCTACACAGTGGTTAAAAAGTCTACAGCATCTACACAGTGGTTAAGAGGTCTACAGCATCTACACAGTGCTAAAGAGGTCTACACTATCTACATAATGCTAAAGGGGTCTTCAACATCTCTTTAGCACTGTGTACGTGTACGTATCGGACCCAAGCCAACTCGGACCCATGCCAATTCGGACCCACTACCAAATTTGACCCACAACCAACTCGAACTCATTATGCACGTTTTCAAACATTCCCCATTCCGTTCAAGTTACATGTGTTACAGTGATGCTGTTTAGTATAATTTTTCATTGTAATTGTAATGCGATAACTCTAGTAAAACTTTTACTAAAATTGTATTTTATTATTTATTAATTTTTTTTTTAAATTAACACATGTTAAGTGATATCGTTCATGCCATTTTTCTCATGTTATTTCATTTTTAATCCAAACTTTATACATAACGAAATTAACACATCCAGCACAGATCTTCACAGAAAAATAAAATCAGAAAGCATGAACATTGAAATATAAACACTTGCAAACAAAACATTATTCATTTGTATATAATACTGGATAAAACTAAAGTCAATAAATAAAATATAAGATATAAACCATTCACGGATCTAAACTATAAGCAACTTCAAAACACCCACAAAAGTCAGCATATTTTGAATATGAAATTAACAGCCTAGATGGGTAACAAATAATATAAATAACTATAAAACTACCTTACAGTTTGAATAAACGAAACATGCCATTTCCAAGTGCCAAAAAAATATGAAAAAAATAAAAAAACGTTTGATTTAAAAGATACATCAACACCATTGCATACACTTTATAAGAAAAACGAAGGTTACATATGAATCTATATAAAAGTATAAAAAGTTAAACAAATCAGATAAAAGAACAAAAATCAAAGTAAGCATGTGAATAAAAAAAAATAGTCAATTACTTTTTTGCCTAAATAGTAATTTCAAATGAAAAACATCCTCTGACCTCACTGAAACATGTTCACTGCCTCGTAGTACATAAAAAATACTGTTCGGTTGCCATTTGTTTCACATCCTAAAATAACAACAAATGTGTAGGTTACCGTTCGTCGTAGTGATCGTATATCAAAGATATATGTACAATGTAGGTCTACATTGTGCACATCTGTAATTGGATGCGAGCAGGTTACCGTTCATCACAGATCAAAAATATAAACAATTTGGTAAGGCCTCTTTCAAATGTGCTTATGCCGTGTCGAATAAAATTGATTTAGTGTTACGTTAGCATTGCATAAGCGCGGCAGTGTCTTCAAACATCGAACATAATTACAAATGCCTAGTCAAAATTAAATACCCCAACATGGCGGACCAACAGTCACAACGAAAAATATGATTTTGTGCTCTTAATCGATTACAGTTACATAATGTTTTGCTTCAACAGGCTTAAGGTTACCATTTTGTAAGGAACCAGGCTTTAAAGGGATTTAAAGTTGGTGTACATGTATACATGTTTTGTTGGGTGAAGCACCTTGAACAAACATTTTCAAATTTAGTTGATAATTTTTAGTAATGAGCTTTCCAATGAATCATCACACAACAAAAACAGCCCATGACGAGTAAATCAACTAATTAATTTCAACTTTGGCGGGACGCTCCTTAAAACATATACCAGCCTGTACAAAATGACATATGGTAGGCCTAATCTTTGGGCCTAACCTGCTTTACATGTACGTACACATCTCTTGGTTTAGCTTCATATACAGATATAATATTCCCGCCATGGTTAAGTCACGGTTTCGAAAAGCTAAGCACGTTGAGTTTCATGACGTTCAAAACGATAAGCGTTTAGCAACAACTTCCGTACACATCATAAAGTACCGCTCAGCGACGGCAAAAGAAAACAATAAAAGCCGAATATAATACAGAATACATCCGACACTGTAAGATGACCTATAATCCCTGAAACTAATAATTGAATCATCGTTGGGTCAGAGTTGGTCGTGCTTGGGTCCGAAATGGTAGTGGTTCCGATTTGGTAGTGGTTCCAAGTTGGCCGTGGGTCCGAAATGGTAGTGGTCTGAATTGGTAGTGGGTCCGAGTTTGGATGGGTACGAGTTGGCGTGGGTCTGAGTTGGCATGAGTTTAGTTGATTTGGGTCCGAGTTGACCGGATATATATGCTGTAGACCTCTTTAGCACTGTGTAGATGCTGTAGACCTCTTAACCACTGTGTAGATGCTGTAGACCTCTTAACCACTGTGTAGATGCTGTAGACTTCTTAACCACTGTGTAAATGCTGTAGATCTCTTAACCACTGTGTAGATGCTGTAGACCTCTTAACCACTGTGTAGATGCTGTAGACTTCTTAACCACTGTGTAGATGCTGTAGACCTCTTAACCACTGTGTAGATGCTGTAGACCTCTTTAGCACTGTGTAGATGCTGTAGACCTCTTAAGCACTGTGTAGATGCTGTAGACCTCTTAACCACTGTGTAGATGCTGTAGACCTCTTAACCACTGTGTAGATGCTGTAGACTTCTTAACCACTGTGTAGATGCTGTAGACCTCTTAACCACTGTGTAGATGCTGTAGACTTCTTAACCACTGTGTAGATGCTGTAGACCTCTTAACCACTGTGTAGATGCTGTAGACCTCTTTAGCACTGTGTAGATGCTGTAGACCTCTTAAGCACTGTGTAGATGCTGTAGACCTCTTAACCACTGTGTAGATGCTGTAGACCTCTTAACCACTGTGTAGATGCTGTAGACCTCTTAACCACTGTGTAGATGCTGTAGACCTCTTAACCACTGTGTAGATGCTGTAGACCTCTTAACCACTGTGTAGATGCTGTAGACCTCTTAACCACTGTGTAGATGCTGTAGACCTCTTAACCACTGTGTAGATGCTGTAGACCTCTTAACCACTGTGTAGATGCTGTAGACTTCTTAACCACTGTGTAGATGCTGTAGACCTCTTAACCACTGTGTAGATGCTGTAGACTTCTTAACCACTGTGTAGATGCTGTAGACCTCTTAACCACTGTGTAGATGCTGTAGACCTCTTTAGCACTGTGTAGATGCTGTAGACCTCTTAAGCACTGTGTAGATGCTGTAGACCTCTTAACCACTGTGTAGATGCTGTAGACCTCTTAACCACTGTGTAGATGCTGTAGACTTCTTAACCACTGTGTAGATGCTGTAGACCTCTTAACCACTGTGTAGATGCTGTAGACTTCTTAACCACTGTGTAGATGCTGTAGACCTCTTAACCACTGTGTAGATGCTGTAGACCTCTTAACCACTGTGTAGATGCTGTAGCTAGACCTCTTAACCACTGTGTAGATACTGTAGATCTCTTAACCACTGTGTAGATGCTGTAGACCTCTTTAGCACTGTGTAGATGATGTAGACCTCTTAACCACTGTGTAGATGTTGTAGACCTCTTAACCACTGTGTAGATAGTGTAGAACTCTTTAGCACTGTGTAGATGCTGTACTCTCTTAACCACTGTGTAGATGCTGTAGACCTCTTAACCACTGTGTGTAGATGCTGTAGACTTCTTAACCACTGTGTAGATGCTGTAAACCTCTTAACCACTGTGTAGATGCTGTAGACTTCTTAACCACTGTGTAGATGCTGTAGACCTCTTAACCACTGTGTAGATGCTGTAGACCTCTTTAGCACTGTGTAGATGCTGTAGACCTCTTAAGCACTGTGTAGATGCTGTAGACCTCTTAACCACTGTGTAGATGCTGTAGACCTCTTAACCACTGTGTAGATGCTGTAGACCTCTTAACCACTGTGTAGATGCTGTAGACCTCTTAACCACTGTGTAGATGCTGTAGACCTCTTAACCACTGTGTAGATGCTGTAGACCTCTTAACCACTGTGTAGATGCTGTAGACCTCTTAACCACTGTGTAGATGCTGTAGACCTCTTAACCACTGTGTAGATGCTGTAGACTTCTTAACCACTGTGTAGATGCTGTAGACCTCTTAACCACTGTGTAGATGCTGTAGACCTCTTAACCACTGTGTAGATGCTGTAGCTAGACCTCTTAACCACTGTGTAGATGCTGTAGACCTCTTTAGCACTGTGTAGATGCTGTAGACCTCTTAAGCACTGTGTAGATGCTGTAGACCTCTTAACCACTGTGTAGATGCTGTAGACCTCTTAACCACTGTGTAGATGCTGTAGACTTCTTAACCACTGTGTAGATGCTGTAGACCTCTTAACCACTGTGTAGATGCTGTAGACTTCTTAACCACTGTGTAGATGCTGTAGACCTCTTAACCACTGTGTAGATGCTGTAGACCTCTTAACCACTGTGTAGATGCTGTAGCTAGACCTCTTAACCACTGTGTAGATACTGTAGATCTCTTAACCACTGTGTAGATGCTGTAGACCTCTTTAGCACTGTGTAGATGATGTAGACCTCTTAACCACTGTGTAGATGTTGTAGACCTCTTAACCACTGTGTAGATAGTGTAGAACTCTTTAGCACTGTGTAGATGCTGTACTCTCTTAACCACTGTGTAGATGCTGTAGACCTCTTAACCACTGTGTGTAGATGCTGTAGACTTCTTAACCACTGTGTAGATGCTGTAAACCTCTTAACCACTGTGTAGATGCTGTAGACCTCTTAACCACTGTGTGTAGATGCTGTAGACTTCTTAACCACTGTGTAGATGCTGTAGACCTCTTTAGCACTGTGTAGATGCTGTAGACCTCTTTAGCACTGTGTAGATACTGTAGACCTCTTTAGCACTGTGTAGAGAGTGTATATCTTTTTGTGTGCATGTGACCGTAAGAGAGGGTACACGATTGGATATTGAACTGTGTGTTCTGGAATTACATGTTCATGACCGATGCGCATGCTTCCATATTAAAGATGTGTCACGTCATAAGCAGGTTGTCCGTGATCAATCTAGCTTCATCCCTGCTGCCTTGTGAGGGCGCTTTATTGGTGTAGGGTGTAGTGTATCTACACGCACATAGTGCAAAAATTTTTGGTCTCAAATCTTGCGGGGTATAACCAACATCCTAGTAAGGTATTTCGTAAAAACTTGGTAGTTTTATTTTTCGATGTTTGCAAATGTTGTATATTCCCGTTAAAGGATATGATGAGGATGGATCCTTTTGAGGGGTGGAGTTTCGAGGGGGGTTGTTGAAGTTTGAGCCTAGCTTTGGTTTGGAGGCTAAATAAACAGTAATTTAATCACCTGTTGTTAATATGTGGCACTGTCACATTTTCCCCTTTTCTCTTTCTAGAAAGCCGTGGAAGATCTCTACGCCTTCAGGGATCACTTCTTTGAGAAGAACAGCATCGACCGAGCGATTCACAAGACAGAGGAACTAGGTCAAGAGCTCAAGAAGGTCATTGAACTCTTGGATGAGTTACAAAGTACGTTGACCTCAGCATCATACGTGGTAGTATTTGAGGATTTGTAATTTTCCGAAGAGCAGGTGCTGGAAAATACATGGAAAATATAATGGAAACCGCCCCCACTCCCTCCCAACCCACCCCCCCCCCCCAATTCCACAAATTTCAATCTCGAAGTAAAACTGTATTTGATAATTTGTGACTGACGATATTTTTTCTCCGTATATAGGCCAAATAAAGAATCGCTCGGAGTACATGCTCCAGCGCGGCAAGGCTCTTAACGTCCTGCCAGATTTCAGCCCAGAATCCCTGGAATGTCTCTCCAAAGCTGTCAAGTTGGATCCCAGGTCAGTCGAGGCGTGGAACCAACTAGGGGAATGCTACTGGAAGAATAAAGACGTTGAGGCCGCACGGAATTGCTTCACTGGTGCACTGAACCATGTAAGGATAAAACACTCCATCTATGATCAGGCGTATGGCTTTTGACTAGCGCCCCTTGAACAAAGACATTGACAAAATGGGGAACCCCCAACATGGGGCTGGATAGCTCAGTTGGTAGAGCACTGGAGCGGAAATCCGGAGGTTGCAGGTTCAAACCCTGCTCCAGTCAATTTCCTTGTTAAATTTTTTTTTAATTATCGTGAGATGTTCAGAGACAAATAATGTAAACTTTGTTGATTTTCCTTCTGATAAAAAAAACACCAAATATTCATATAAAATGCATTGTTTTCATTCTGATGTGGTCACCATAAACAGTGATTCTTGGGCAAGACACTTTACCACAATTACCTCTCTCCATCTAGGAGTATCAATGGGTACCTGTGAGGGTAGAGACCAGATTGACCTTATCTTGAGCTGCTGTAGATAATGGTCACTGCCTGATGAACAGAGCTACTACATTTGAACAGCTTTTAGACATTCATATTAAGGGCCGTATAAGCGTCACATTACTAACTCTCTGTCTTTAGTCAAGAAACAAGGTATCGTTGAGGAATCTCTCCATGGTGATGAGACAGCTTGGTAAGAGCCAGGAGGAAAGGTCAAAGTTCATCCAAGACAGCGTGGATCATGCTAAGGAGGCGGTTCAGATGGACTATTCAGATGGGACCTCATGGTGTGAGTACTGCTCTGCAACCCTAAACCGGAGTGTTTGCGCCAAGTCCATTACAAGTCCATCATCCTCCAGTCCCAAGTCAAGTCACAAGTCATTTAAATTAAGGTTGACAAAGGCATTTCTTTGTTATTTTTCATCCCCATTGCTTGGGACTGGACTTGTTACTTTCTTGTGACCCGTCTTGAGATAGACTAGTGATTGCTACCTGCAATTTGCATCAGTTTTAGTGTAAAAATATTTATTAGCTTTTATTTCTTTTCCCTCCATGTTTATGTATACAGTCATTGCTGGCAATGCATATCTGACAGTGTTCTTCAACGGCGGTCAAAAGTCTAGTATCCTGAAGCAGTGTCTGGGAGCTTACTCACAAGCGGTAAGACATAGGACCCTAAGGAGCCTGACTATCTGCAGGAACTGTAGGCTAGTACATAGGCCCAACATTGCCAACCCCAGCCAAATCACAATTTGCATGCCCTCAAATATTCTGCAATTAGAGCAGTTTGAGGGCCATGAACTTATGGATTTGTTAAAAAAAGAAGTGTGGAAGCCAAGCAGAGGACTGCGAGCTCGTATTTCTGTGAAATTTGGATGAAATTGGGCCCTAAAATTGCTCTTTTTGTAATATTGAATATAGGGGCATCATTTTTGAAAATGGTGATGGGCTTCAGGACTACTTTAAGGGATGATCATCTTTGGATAGAAATTTCTCCCAAAACTCGTCAGATTATGCCCCTAGAATTGAACAAAAAATTAAAGATGACAAAATAAGCTTTAATTTAATGTGCATGTCAGCATCTCAAACACCTTGGAGAGCTGTATTTTGTCCCGATTTTTGGAAGTGGGGGATTTATCACATACAGGAGAGTTGCGTGCGCAAACTGTTTTCAGCGTTTATATTGCATGGATGTACACAAGCTCATAGTGTCTGAGAAAATGCACCAGAGTTTTGGCACTCACTGTTAAATGTTGCTATTAACAAGCATTACAAATAAACATTGTTTTTTGCTCTTAGGAAAAAGATACGATACAAAAATCCAATCCAGATTTGTACTTCAACAGAGCAACGGTAAGTTGGATTTTGTTTGTTAGTCATTTAATTCGGGTTTCTAAATCTTGGAGTTTTAATGGCCCCTCCCTGCCTGTCAATCAAGCACTGTCCATTGACCAATTAGATTATGACTTTTGGTTAGGTGACCATGGTAGCTCAGCCAAACTCAGTCACTAAGCACTGTGAGAAATGTACACAAACAAAAGGTGGGCGGGGCTTGACAGTGCACATTGACCAATTAGATAACCACGTTTGATCAGGTGACCATGGTAGCTCAGCCACACTCAGTCACATGCACTGTGAGAAATGTACACAAACCAAAAGTGGGCGGGGCTTATGCCCAAACAGTCGATTTGGAACAAGTTTTAATTGTGTAATATTGCTCTAATGTATTTAATCCTTTCATCAGCATTTTCTTACCTTGCATTATTTTTACAGATATTTAAATTCCAAGAGGACTACCAGGCGTCCTTGGACGGTTACCGAATGGCTCAGTCGTTAGACCCAACCTGGCCTGAGCCAAAAGAGAAACTATCGGAACTCGTCACCTACCTACAGAATGTCACACAGTTAGTCCAACAAAAGGTACAAGAATTCGGAGCACGCTTTTCAGAACCACACAAAGTGAAAAAAAGAGATTTGAGTATATGATGCTACGGCAATCTCCATACATATTAACTCTCCATAATGCCAGCCTTCAAGACTCACATTTCCATTTGTTTCCTAAGCACGGACGCAGCATACATTGGTAAAACACTCACACAACAGGTTCATTTCATCATACAGGTCTTCAAAACATTTTCAAAACGAAAGGGGCTAGATTCATTAAAAGAGTTGTGGATTGTTTTCCATAAACCTAAAATGGTTGGAAAAAAATCGCTGGCTTTTAATCCTTTTGAAACTTTTGTTGCATTTTTGTGTACAGGGTAAGCTAAAAGCTAAGCGTCTGCAGCAACTGCTAGCATCAATCAAGGAGACTGACTTGGGTCCCTACGGTGGGGGTTCCTATACCCCACCCAAGGGAGATCCAGTCAAGCTTGAGCTCATGCCTCTCTCTAGACTAGCAGCGGGACCCAACCCAGAGAAAGTGGTCCATGGTAAAGTGGTGTGCAGCGTCGCAACGGACGAACCAATACCATTGTGAGTACTTACAGTTTTCTTTATGGGCTCTGTGCGCAAGTACCCCCTCAACGGTAAAAAAGGGAGAGTTGGAGACATTTGTACGCATTGATGACTCCGGACACTCAAGCAAAGACACTGTTACTTTGTGCAGATTCAGAGTAAAATAAGTTGTGTGTATGTTGCGCTATACGTGCGCAAACAACCAGTACGCACATGCAATATGCCCCATCCACTGGATTCGCGAAAGTCATAAAAAAAAGCGCCCCTCTCTTGTTGGCGCATGGAGCCCATACAGATGTTATTTTGCGTGCTTTTTCTGAACATTTTAAGGCGACGTTGAAGCATTTGAGATTTTTTGGACTTTCACGGCTTACTGGATTTGCCATGTTGTGAGCTAAACAGCCCTTGATGCCAAAATATTAAATAATACAAAAACCTGAAGATACATATTCATAAACTCTTCTAATTAGATTGCCATTTTTAATGGTTTAAAAATAAAATTGAATCTAAGATTTTAGTAAATCAAAATGGTAAAGTTGACTCAATTCTGATCTGGCGAAAGCTCAATTTTTACAAAGTTTCTCAAGATTTTGGAAATAAATCCTTATTTTGGTAATCTCTTGAACAGCACCTTTGCGATGGTGGATGCCGAGGGATCGTGTTTTGCCGTCAATATCTACAACATAGCTAAAGGTCAAGGGGTCATCATCGGAGATTCTGTGGCCGTCCCTGAACCATTTGTGCAGCATAACGACTTTGTGTTTGATAAAACGGTGAGAAAGTTGCATTGAGATTATTTTTTTAGGTTCATTTTTAATTTGCTTGATCTGAAGGGCCAGTCTGTTGTCCTCAGATTGACTGAGTCTCTGATTAACTGAGTCACTGACTGACCAAGTCACTGAGTCAGTGATTGACCGAGTCACAGACTGACAAACTGAGTCACTTATTGAAAGACTGACTGACTGACCAACTGACTAGTGGTGTCCATTCTCGGGTGGTACGGGAACCGGGTATTCAATTGAAGTAAAATAGTACGGTACCAGTAAAAGCAACCCAACCCCACAATTTAACTTCCGGATGTTGGATGGAGGGCTTTGAAGCTTTACAGTTAAACTGCAACTTTTGCTAGCATCATCTGTCGCGCGTTGAAAAAACACTCAAACGTGAAATCTGTTTTGGTTTTCCACATAGCCTGGTTATCATTTTGAAAATTCCCATGAACGGCATTCAAAACCTCTCCTTTTCATTGTCTGAGAAGTTACTAAGTAATTTGTAAAGTTTGTTACTGGTATCTGATCCCATAATCTGGAACCGGTTCTTGACATTAGCGGTCGGGTACTCCGGAACTTGGTTCAATGCACACCCCTATGACTGACTGAGTCACTGAGTGTAATGTCCTAAACTTAGGGTTACAGGGCGAGTCAGTATTATCTGGAACCAAATAAAAGAAATCATTAAAAAATATGTAGCAATTATCAAAACAAGTGCAAATGAGATCTGTTATAGACTGGTATTTTGGACATATTTGTTGAAAGTTTTGAAGAGAAGCGCCAGCAAAGAACACACGCTAAAACACTCTGACCACGGTCCCAAGAATCAACAAATTTATCGAAATCGTGTACATCAGTTTGCGATTTCAATCAATTTGCAAGCACTTTTCTTCAAAAACGTACAATGGATATACATTAAACTTTCACCAAATATTTCCAAAATATGCTATAACATATCTCATTTGCACTTGTTTTGATAATTGCAACATAGTTTTAATATTTTCGTTAATTTAAGTCCAGATCATTCGGACTCACCCTGTAGTCTACAGTAGTACTGTTGTTTCATTGTGACTCCTCGGTTAGATACATGTAGATACTCAAGATTTCCATTATTTTTTATCACATAGAACGTCAAGTTTTCCAGCATCAGAGTTGATACACCTGTGGCACTGGTTGTCAACGGCAAGAAGCTTGGACTGGAGAAGCAAGCACCTGCAGTGGTCTCATTATATGCCAAGAGCGAATGAGCCAATCAAATGTCTTGAAAAGGACTGTTCAAGATTCAGCTATAAGCCCCTCCCACCTTTTGGTTTGTGTACATTTCTCACAGTGTTTGTGACCAATGGTCGAGATCTAATTGGTCAATGTCCAATTGGTCAATGTCCACTGTGTGACTGACAGGCACGAAGGGTCCATTAAAGGCTTTGCACAGGAACTACAGAGGGCGTTGTATAGCATTACAACGCAGGCAAGGGAAAGGCACTTAATTTCCTTGGTATACAGCACTGATCTCTATATAAAGACTGGATAGCAGATGCCCATATATCAATCACATGGTTGATTTTGCATTTTGACCAGGTCGCCCCGGTCTTGCGTAAAAAAGCCGCCAATAATAAACACATTTTTATGTGTAGATTTAATGGGCATTTTGTTCACATACACGTATTATGATGTTCTAAAAAGGACAAATTTCCATCGTGATTATAATTCCAAATGTCGCAACTAGTGAACTGTGGCATTCAGAAAGTAAACCACGACGTTTGAAAAATTGTGAACGTGGTCATGGGTGGTGAACAAAAGGTCATTGGTGGTGAACAAGAGGTAAACCAGGTGAGCCACGATGTTGCAAAAGTGAATCACAACTGCCTATACAGACGGCAACTTGTCCTTTATAGATCACCAACCAGTCTTTCCAATATGGCGTCAAACGGATGTCTTCTGTGGCTTTCTGTACATTATCAAGTAGGCTATCATGTGGAAGTTGGGGCTGTTCCGGTCTTTCATTCTCAGTTTTATCATTGGTTTTGTTTTTTTAATGTGTTATGGCATTCAAACTGACTTCCAGTTTGGCAACCAAAAAAAGAACTTTGCATTTTTGGCCAGTACGAGTAGTAGAACGGCCAACTAAAATGACAACCCTATCTCTTTTGTACCCAACTGAAGCCCTCCATTGCTGAGGTATTTTGACTATTTCATTTCCATTGTTAGGTAAATTTGTAATACAAAGGCATATAAATAACCAACGTGGACAAAATAGACCAGCACCACATACAGAAAGGCAACATAATAGGACTGCAATGTATTTACATTTTGAAAGCAAAGAAGCTACATGTATGTGCAAGTTCATTGTTGCATTTTTGTGTAAAAATTGTTCAGAGAGTGTACATAGTTTTTATAAGCAATATGTATAACACTGTTTGATGTGAAGCTGTGATAGCGGAATAAACTTTGCTCAAGTTTTAAAAAGGTTTTATTTTTACAGTTTTTGCAGTTCTAGTTTACTGAAGACAAGGGCCAACACAATAGTACACACACATAATTTACAATTAGTCCCTGTAACTTTCTCAAGACAAAATAAAAACACTATTTAAGATTGAAATTGTAACTTATCTCAAGAATCTGTTGAAGAATTTATAATCATAATTGTGAGAGTTTCCAAACAATTTCCCCTTTTTTTTAAATTGAGTATTTCCAGTTCAGAGATTTTAAGTTTACATATTTGACCAACCAAATACAATTTTGAACAATTTTACATTATGTTTGAAGAATTATAACACGAGTGCTTTTAAAGGGAAAATACAACATTTGCAAACATCAAAAAATAAAACTACCAAATCATTTTGAAATACCTTGCTGGACTGTTAGTGAATGACAGTGTAAAGCATCCTGTAAAATCATGGCACCTGATATACTGTCATTTTCAAGAAAAGTGGTATTTTTATATCAATTTCCAACGCTGGTCGGCCGACCAGCGTTGGAAAACACTGGCTTTTTTTCAAATACTGGCCCCAATTGACCATCGCACTTGTTTGCAATCGATTACACACCTATGAAAGGGGTACAAGCCAGCTAGACTGGTTCCCTGACCTTACAAATTCCCCAATTTATGTAAACTGCTCTGTTTCTTCTTATATGGAGTCAGGGAACCAGACTACAGGAAAATGATTGTTTTTCTTGGTTTTTATAGCATTTTCGAACCCAAAACCTCAAAAAAGTCAGTGTAACTATATTTGCTATATATTTCCAACCCCCCAATTCCATCCATTTCTGAAAATTACAGCAAAAGCAAATGATGTATATTCCCTTTAAAGTGCATACTGAATAGGCCAGTTCGGCATTTCAACTGCGCCTGCACACCATGATATGGGTCACGGGTCATCAGGATATGTAAATCGAACACTCATGAACAAGCAAGGAGACAGTCTCACGACGCACGAGTGTTAATTACGATCAGAATGGGCGTTTGGTAACGTGGCGCCAACAAGTTTATCCCGAATACCCTTTGACTTGGACTACTTCATCGCGATACCAAACTGGCTTATTCAGGGGTGAGATTTATCAGTTTTTCTTATTTCAGGGTTTTTAAAGAATCCCTTTTGAAATCTTTTGGAATTCCTGAAATTTTACTGTAAAGATATTTTTACTTCTAAAAGTTTATGCAGAACAACTGAAATGGGTAATTTAAGGGTTGCATTTAGGCAAATACAAATATCCCATAGACAGTAGAGCCTACTCGGACAAAAATTAAATTAAAATCGGCAGAAACTTTTAGGTTGATAAACTTTCTGCTTAGTACAAACGAGCTGCTGTACAATAAACTTCCAAACATATTATCATATACATCAGTGTTATAGTCAAGACATTTATGATGGATCACAAGTGCATCGCAAGTCCTTTCACAATTCTAGTCAAAAGTAACAGGAGATGAACAACAAAAGAACGCATTGTGGGTTAAAGGTAGGGTAGATCATTTGTGCATTTTGTTTCGTTTGAAGCAACAAAAGTGCTCAGAATGTAAAGAAGGTTGCTTAACAACTAACCTGATGAACTTTAGCTCTGTGAATGCTGTATGTTCCAAGAAAACAATACTGTAGGATCTTGATTTCAATTCAAAAGTTGCAGACTCATGTTTTGAATCGCGCCCGAAATCATCATCCGGGACACGTTCTCATTCAGCCGCGATGTCACGCACAGAACCGACAAATAGTAGTAACCGCATCCGCGTGTGCGTTTTGTCAATGCTTACATGCACTCATTAATGGATTTGCCGAATTACAAACTACTAACGGAAATTTCCAAAAATGGACTTGACGCATCTTTGAAAATGGCCTTATTTTACCGCTTTCTTCAAAATGACAGCATGCCAGAAATTCTAATTTCACAGGGAGTTTATTGCCATCCCAATCTTTAAACCAAGTAAGTTTTTCAACAATAATTTGTTCAGTTACTTTTTGGATAGCTGCAAATGATCTACTCTACCTTGAAGTGACTTGTGATTGGAGGACGTGTTATTGACTTGTGATTAATTTGCGATCCGTCGTAATTACCCCAACTACAACACTGACATACATTTATTCCAATGTCAACAAAAAAGTTCCCATATTGAAGTTATCAGTGGACTCTCTTTCTTCTGACATCTTTCGCCGTCTTGCTGCTCGTAGAGATTGACTGGGCTGGGCTGCCGATATGTTGCCGGGTCGGGTCATAGGTGAAAGTCTGGGGTACGGGTCCGGTGCCGGCCTCTTTCAGACTCTGCAAGTGAGCCTTGCCCTTCTGTTCCACTTCGTGGTTCGTCTGTGCGTTCTTCCAACCTGAGTATCAGAACATTTGATTCATGAATAATTTCAGATAAATTGAAAAATTTGCATCACTTTTTTTTGTAGCCAATGATGGAAACCTCAACTTGCCTGACTTCATACTCTGGATGAACCCTTCGGACTTGGGCATATCTTGCGGATTGTGTTTAATCTTCTCGGGGATGTTTAGTCTGGTTCTGACTGCCGGGATCTTCAGGATGGCCACTTGGCTGATGGAGAAGATGTTGGAGGTCAACCAGTAGACAAAGACAGCCTGGGGGAAAAGATTGAAACTGGATTTGAATCTAGGAGCAAAGTGGGAAGTCTGCTGGATCAAACAGTTAAGGTTGAAACCTACTCAATTCAACAGAATCTGCAGCCGAATTCACGAAACAGTGCGTAATTTACGCCATGCATAGGCCTTGTGCAACACATTTATTGCATTTATTTGTTCTTTTTCACGAACTTGGCGTGGCTTAGCAACGTTTTAAATAATTTTAACATCTTGGACGAGGGTAATAACAGCATTTATGACGGCTGTTTGTGTATGATTTTGTTCGTTTATGAAACTATTCTTCAGAATTGTGCGGCAACTCTAAAAACTCTGTCACGAGTAAAATAGCAAATTATTTACTTCCAACGCCAAGCTGTGAGTGTCTTGTATCAACCTAGATAAGTTGAGCAATAACGGGCTCCACGATGATCACAAGTTGCTGTTAAGTAGGTTCATTTTCAGTTGCTACACAACAACTTACACTACCTTAAATGATTGCCCAAGTCACACTATAGTTTGTTGCGCAAGTCGCGAACTTACGCACTATGGAACTTTCGCACTATGGAACTTTCGCGAAATTGTCACAACAGAAATGTTGCGCAGTGTGAAATGTTTCGCACCTTATGCAATAAATTGTGGGGCCTGTGGACGTATGCAATTGCGTAAAGTTTCGTGAAATCGGCTGCTGAAGTTTCAAATGGATTCTGTTGGATTCATAAGGTTACATACATTTTTGTTGGATTTCATTTGATTTGGTAACAAAGTGGTGAAAACGTAGTATAATCCAACCAAAAATGACTGAAAGCAATTGAAACTAACAGAATCCAATAGAATCTTAGAGTACAGAAACAAAAGGTCTTTGTCCACTGTTCGTTCACGAAGTGGGACTAATCCTACCTTTGGCATGGATGCAATCAATGGGAGAAGAGCAAACGGCATGATGCGGAAGATCGTCTTCATCTTCTGCATCTGGGCACTGCTTACCCCAGCCTCACCACCAAGCTACAAGTCAGGAAAAAAGCAACAAAAGTCAAACCTTTTATGTTAAACTGTAACGACAAAGTTTACCCCTAACCCTGCCAGATGCAATACAGTGCATCAGGTGCAAAAGTCTGCGCACTTTGATGCATTGAGCCATCAACACCAGTGCATAAACGGCCGCTTCTGTGACAATGAGAGCTAGTCCCATTGATCAGTGCCACAGTTGTATCCTGCAGCATCCGCTGACCACAGACTCTGAGACAGTTCAGCCTTGAGACTTTTGACCTGATGGATCTTGCTACACTGGGCAGGCTTGTCATTTTGACAAGTGTTGCATGTTGCTGCGTTTAGCAGGGTTTCTAGCCAAAATACCCTGGAGGGTTAGGGTTAAAAAATCATCATGGAATGTGTGCATTTTGTTTTTGCGTAATCTCCATGTAATAGCAAATATCGAACGTGGACCAAATTATATGACAATTGAAGAGGTTCCTTACAGACTATCAAAAGGTGAAATCACGTGATGTTATCATATATATTTGAATTAATTAGAATGACAAGCACAAGAAACTGAAGTATACCAGTCGAAATTCCAACATGATTAAAATCTCATAAACTCTGAGGATTGTGTCTTTGAGGTGAACTTGCCAAAAACACTGATACTTAGGTAGTGTCTCAAGACATGAAACCTTTGGCAATATCAAACACATGCTGTTCCCACTAGGAATATTCAGGAATGCTTGCAATTATCATATGCATATTGAAGCAGGAATAGCCCATACCAGTTTGTACCATTTTCAAACAGTGTTTGTTTTTTGCCGCCAAATTGTGAAGTTTTTCGACAGGAAGACTGAGAGTCTTTGAATCTTAGGCCAAAAAAAAATAAGTCGGTCTCTGGTCAGCGCGCGCGTCGATTTTAATCATGCACGTCAATCTTCTTTTTTTTCTCCAAAATGTTCCGCGTTAGCTCCAACAGCGCCCTCTATTGCTGCACCTCCTCAATTTTTTTTACCAAAGAGCACCAAGGAATGGGAAATTGCACCAAGGCAAATGATTGAGAGCACCAAGGCAAATTATGGAGGACACCAGTGTACATGAGGACACCAAAAAAAGCAAAATAGTACCCCACCTTGTCTGTACAATCCAAGCTTGAAAAAAAAAAAAGCCGCGTGGCCGCGTCAATTCCGGAACTTTGGTCTGACCAGAGACCGAATATTTTTTTTTTTGGCCTTACTGACCTCCAATACAGCCAGCATACTGAGACTTGCAAGAACCGGCATGATGTAATAGGGGTCAGAGGTCGTCAGGTCGGTGAACCACCACAGACCGCCAGTGGTCATGCTTGCCACGGGTAAGCTAGCCATCCTGCGAAGGCCGACGAAGAATGAGATGAAGATGGGAGCCTGTCAAGAAATTGCAAAAAAAATTTACTGTTTGAATAAAGTAGTGGCTATTATCACTTTCAATGGCTGTAGTCAGGGTATTGCAAACCAAATTGCGAATCTATATCATACATTTTTAACTGCAATTCCAAACAGAGCCTTTTGGTAACACAATGGTTAAACGTTGGACTACCATGCCGAAGGTACTGGGAGGGATCAAATCTGTGATTTTATATAGTGTTTTTTTTTATGTTTCCTTAAATTGTATATTTGAAATCAAATCCTACTTTTTATTCAAGCAGATTATGGCTCTCGACAAAAAGGAATGGATAAACTGTCTCAGGTATTTATAAATAATAACAGTACTGTAAGTAAATACAGTGAAATCTCGATAAGTCAAACCTCAAGGGAACAGGTTCAAAATTTGACTTAAGCAGAGTTTTGAGTTAAGCAGGGTTGTATATCGCTGTTATATTACTGAAAGGAATGGATTCTTTGTTTGAGTTATCAGAGTTTGACTTATCAGGATTTCACTGTAAATACAAAATAGTTTTGTCTTTTTAACGGCAATTGTCTTACTTGTACTACGATCCCCAAGAGACTTTTGAGAGGGTTGACGTCGTGCTTCTTCATGAACTGCTGCACCTCCAAACTCCGTTTCATAACTGCACGACCAAAAACAAGACGGTTATCAACACTGAACAGCTCCAAGAGTAAAAATCATTGAACTGTGGATTGTACAACCCTGGCACTTTTACTTATTAAACATGGGTGTTATTGTCAAGATTCGGGGTAATTGGAACTAGTTTAACGAGGACCATTTGTCGACTAGCAGTTGTGATGCAACTTGCACACTTATAGCAACATGCATATGCCTCCAGTCAAATGACGATCGAAACATCCTTACAAAACGTCTTGGTCCCGTCTCCCTGCTGTGTATTATGATGCACCAGGCCGTTGTAACCAACGATGTTAGACCTAATTTGGCTGGTTTTAAACTGTCAACTAGACCAAAAAAACTATCATTGACTAGTAAACATTCAAGACTAGCTCATGATCAAACTTGGTCCTAGATTTCACTCAAACGTTGCAGTTGGTGGCCAACACAATGTTGGATTGTAGAGGAATCAAGAGGCAAGTGTTCCTCTGGATTTAGGGTTTACACAACTTAAAAAAAAACCTCATACATACCTTCTGCTTGATTGCCCGTCTGTTTGGCCTCATTCATCTTTGCCGTTAGTTTCTGGAACGTTGGCATGACGTTGTTGAGATTGGCTGCATACCGCATATTCCTCACAATCAGTGGAAATACACAGACTCTGGCGATAACAGTACCTGGAGAAACAATATTCATTGACAGAATTGTAAATTTATAGTATGGAGAAGTTACAGCATGGGATAGTTTTAGGAATAAATCAAACACATTTACTAGGAATATCCCTGAAAACTCAAAAAATTAAACACACTGCAGCAAATGAATTACACTTTGCACGGATGTAGTTAATCAGTTAAGGCTGAAGGATATGTAGACACGATCTGCCTATGTATAAATCCCAGGGGCAGGTGACGGATAAATCGTCAAGTTTTCCCCGAGTTGCCGGCGGTGGACGTGTATACATGTCAGTGGTTCCCATTGGTTTCATACAGGCCGTGTTTCAAACTTGAACGTGGCCGCTGTGCATGGCCTGTCGTCTAGCAAATATCACTCTGTGGCGGGGCCTCGGAGTGTTGATTTCAGTGCCTACCTGTTGCAATGGCAGCCCACCACGGCAAACCAGCAGACATATGCAGGAACTCCAGGGCGTGTTGTAGTAGGCCGACGGGCGAGAAGCCACCAAGACCTAACTCAGCGAACGGGATCTCCTTGACCGGCTGTAAGATCTGCTCGGCGGTCATGGCTACCTCGGTGATGGCGGAGGGGTCTATTAATGGAGTCGCTGCATCTATAAGCTGTTTCAATGAGATAGAACATCTAAGACTAATAATCACTTAAAGGTGTGGACATTATCGTGTTTCAACGCCACCCTTGAATGGAACATTGACGGTCACACTCGGTGTTGATTTTTGAAAGGACCACTAGTGAAAATGATAATTGGTTCTTTCAAGAATCAACAGTTTCCTTGAGAAAGAGATTAATCATCTCGTGTCACTGCAATCATTCCTCCGTTATCAGATTCACAATGAAAAGCTTCAAACCATCTGCAACCAGCCTGACAAAAAGGTCCCTAACCAGAAATCTAAACCTGAGATTAAGTTGATAGCTGGTATACATGTAGGTGTGGGGGGAATTGCATAAGCCAAATAGAACTTCTATTCATTTGCACACCAGTTTCATCAGTTGCGATGAGTTACGATTAAAAACTCCAGACTCAAGAACCATGGAGTTTTAAGTAAAATAGGTCTGGGAACTAGACAAGGCAATGTAAGAAGCCCCCACCTATTATAATAACATGTATTAAAGCGCAGGTATCCACCAGTATTGGTGCTCAAGGTGCTACATCATTATTACGCTACTCATTGGGCCAATGAAACATGCCAAAAACCATCTCAGCTTCCTGGGGAGAGTACAGCTCAATGCTGCCATTTCAGCGCAAATCAGCTAAAATCAATCAAAATAACCATCCCTGCCCTCACAGGTACCCATTTACTCCTGGGTGGGGAGAAGCAATGAGTGACAAAGTGACTTTCCCAAGGGCACACGCACCATAACCCCTGGCTGGACTCGAACCCACAACCTGCAGGATAACCCGCAGACCGTGTACAGTATTCAATGCTCCAGACCACGAGGCCACGGCACATCACATCAACAAGCCCAGCCCCCGAATTTGGAGTGAGTTACACAAATGTCATGTTTTGAGAAAAAAAGAGCAGGGTATATTTTCTTTTAAACTTCAACAAATACGTAAAAAAAATAATAAACAGACAATTAGAAAAAAACTTACGTTTTCTGAGACTTGCGCACTTTGCCCAGTGTCTGTACTGTTGTGTCTGGCTGTGGTTAGAGCGCCCCCTATGGATGGGACGTGTTGCATGGCCTGCCATCTTGAACCGAGTGTCGATCTGGTGAATCTGTGGACAGTTGTTTGTCTGACTATTCTGTGGCAGCACGCCTGGATGTGAATGCCATGCTAGATTAGGAAAAAAAGCAAGCATTTGTCAATTTGCAAACATTTCAAAACTCTTTGGAAAAAAGTCACTCCTCCTATTTCATACTAAAGTCGAACTTTTCAAATGGCCTAGTTGTATTATTCTTTTGGCTGTGGATATTTTGCCGTGACCGGCGGTACCTTCCTGACATTAATTTGCCGTGAGTGAACTCCGAGAACCCGAGTCAGTACTTTTAATGCAAGATACTTAGGTTCTCAACTATAAATTTGAAGAAGCAAAAAAGTGGATGAAAAATGGGCATTAGTGGATTCAAACCAGGGATCTGTCGATCCACAGCAAATCTCACTATCCAATAGACTACTGTGGTAGCTCGATGATAGCCGTTTTTTTGGTTTTTTTCAAATCCTTTAAATATGAACCGTAACGTAACCAGTTGACTAACATTGACTAAGTACAGGTAAAACAATACTATAGCGTGACGTCATTTTCTTTTCTCATGAATAAACATAAATTTCCCATCAAAACAGCCAATCACAGCTTACTCCTAGAACTATGAGGCTCCACGTAGTGGAGCCTCATAGGTTCAGAACCCCGCAAAATTGTTGTCAGCACAAAACACTAATTAAGTACAAAAACGTCCATCCCAACCAAGCCGTTTCCCACAGAACCGCTGCACAGTTTGCCCCTAAACTCCGTACAATACCTCATGACATACTCACGCTATGTGCACCCAACAAACATCGGTGGATTCTGTCGGTTTTTTGCAAAAATGATGGAAAATATGCCCTTTCCGCACTGAGCCAACCCGACACTTGAAATTTGCACGCGCGCAGAATGATCGCAGTCATTTTCGGTCCGATCGTTCGGAGCGCGCCGCGGGGGGTATGGTGTAGGAGCGGAACGATAGTATGCGCATGCGTACAAGTGCGAGTACGTACCCCCCCCCCCCCCCCCCCCCCCCCCCCGGCGCGCTCCGAGCTATCGATATCGAACCCGAAAATGACTGCGATCATTCTGCGCGCGTGCAAATTTCAAGTGTCAGGTTGGCTCAGTGCGGAAAGGGCATATTTTTCATCATTTTGCCGAAAAACCGACAGAATCCACCGATGTTCGTTGGGTGCACATAACGTGAGTATGTCATGAGGTATTGTACGGAGTTTAGGGGCAAACTGTGCAGCGGTTCTGTGGGAAACGGCTTGGTTGGGATGGACGTTTTTGTACTTAATTAGTGTTTTGTGCTGACAACAATTTTGCGGGGTTCTGAACCTATGAGGCTCCACTACGTGGAGCCTCATAGTTCTAGGAGTAATCACAGCTCACAGCAAAATAGCATTTAGTTGGAGGTATATTGCCAGTCACGGCAACATTTCCACTGCCCATTCTAGCTGTGTCACCAATTTCACCAAATGATAAACGATTTCAACATCTGCATATCTCCTGCTGCATGCTGCTGCTGGCATAATGCGTGACAAGGAATAACAATGCAGTTGATTAAGCCAATTCGGAGTTTCACTCGCGAAAAGAATTGTGGGGTGATGCTGTGTAAGCTTACCGTATTGCGTGAGCGAAACTCCAAATTGGCTATTCCCCCCACCCCAAAAAAAACCTAGGAAAATCTATAAAAAAAAAATTTAAAAAAAGAATGAGGGCGCCCTCCTCAAATACACACATTACATTCACATGTAAAATTCTAAAAAGTGTTCGACTTTTGCCATCTAAGATTTTGAGCTTCTGATACGCTACTTAAGGTGACACTTTTTTCTCTACTATACAGTTGTATAATTTTGATTCTAACTTGGTCACAAAATCGAGAAAGTGACCATGAATTACCTGTCTGCTGTACGAAAATAGACCAACAACCCTTGCATGATTTTGTGCACGACGAACCACCGTGAACGCTGCCATGTTGATTAACGCCCTCTAGCGAAACAGCGAAGCGTGCTACTTTAATCCAAGTTTGACCAAACCCCTCTGTCTGATAAAAATGGGATCACCCTTTAAATAAACAGTCCAAAAATTTCATTTTAAGAAAGGTGATAAGCAAAACAAATACATCACCGATGTAATTTTTGGGGAAAAAAGACATTTGTACAACTCAAAAGTGAAAAAAATTGTCGTTTAGGATATTTCAGGATCTTCCACTTTTTCATTTAGGTATGAAGCAATGGCGCGCGCAATATGACAACCACCGGAAGTGAGTGCAGCATATTAAAACGATTTCATATTGTTGACAATTTGCATGGCACGGTGCACGTGAGCTAGCTGTTTCTGATATAAAGTGATACTGAAATAGCCGATCAGATATTTCTTGCCAAGCAAGTTAACAAACACATTCCATCTTTCAAATCCTGTGACATTAATCCGCCGAAATAATGGCCACAGTATTGAGAGTTCGTCGCAAACGAATCAACGACCCTGCCGAATCGCTCGTGTTTTCGTGCAGCAAGAAAGCCCGCACGGCGGACGGGGAATCGGCGCCCGGGACCGGCGGTGGGTCTGCCGCGGCAAGCAAGACATCGACCACGGGGGGTGAATCGGGGGATGATGTGAAAAAGGTGTTCAAATTCGCTGGAACAGTGGGGAAAAAGGTAAAATTAATCTTCTTTCCTTTTTTATGATTTTCTTTCTGAAATAATATGTGATGTGTTCTCCATGTTTTTTGAAAAAATTGAAAATGAAAATAATTGTTTCATGTCTGAATATTTTTTATGTTGACTTAAGTAATAAACTCCATAATTTAAATGTTAAAAATATTATGAATAATATTAATTAACCACAAACACAATAAAATTTGCATAGTTTTTCTTATGTTAAATTAAAATTGTATAAAAAAATCTTACTTTATTTTATTTGTATTTTCTTTATTTTTCTTTTAATAAAAACAAAGGAATTAGAAATAAACATGTTCCTTGATGAAATCTGGATGTTTCATTTTGTCAAGGATGCATTATTAATGTCATGCTTAAGTTTTACAGGACTTCACGTATTTTTTAACTCAAGTCAGCATTTGTGCCATACATGTGTTTACTTTAATAATCCTAGACACCTCAAATTTCCTGAGATTGAGAAACTGTCGGAGCCCATTCTCCCGGATTCCTGATGATTGCTGAATATCATTTCCTGGATTAGAATAAAACAAGAATTATTTTTCATAATCATATGCAAATGTTCAAAAGTCGTGTTGATTTTACTCCGTCTCTGAACATTGTAACATAATGGATCTGATGTCTGTGATGAGTCACCAATCTCTGTTTGCGAATGACATCACACATAATGTAAACGTGTACACATGAATGTGCATACATGGATTTATACGTGTATATTTTTGTATATGCTGTAAAATTGGTGACAGTGATACACGTGTGATTAGGCCAAAAAAAATAAATAATCGGTCTCTGGTCAGACCGAAGTTCAGGAATTGATGCGGCGACACATTTTTTTTTGGGGGGGGGGGGGTTTTGGTGGCTTTTTTTTTTTTTTTTCAAGCTTGAATTGTACAGACAAGGTGGGTACTATTTTGGGTTTTTGTGTCCTCATTACACATTGATGTCCTCCATAATTTCCCTTTGCGCCCTTTATCATTTGCCTTGGTGCAATTTCCCCATTCCTTGGTGCTCCTTGGTACAAAAATTTGAGGAGGTGCGGCAATAGAGGGTGCTGTTGTGTAGCTTCCGTGTTAATTTGAAGAAGAAAAAAGGTTGACGCGCATGATTAAAATTGACGCACGCGCTGACCAGAGACCAAGTTTTTTTTTTTTGGCCATACATTCATTCAGGTGCAAATGGAAAGACTGCAATTTTTTGGCAAAGAAATAAAACTGATGGTTGAAAACATACTGGTATCTGTATCCGTATACATGTGTACATTGCAGAGACCAAAAAGTGGCATAAATCATTAAATGTAACAGTATTTAGACTCCTTGATAATTGGATGCACATTGTTCCTTTGTATGGGTCAGAAAACAACACCTGTACAATGTAGTTGTTGACTTTGTGAGTCTTGCCATCAAGTTGATTATCATAATCATAAATTATAATGCTGTGATGTCCCTAGGCAAGTAATAACAATGGAACTCCATTTCTTGTCCTTCTATCAATCAATATTTGGCAGTTTTATCCTCTCATCTGACAATTTAGCCCATTGACTGTGAGTCTCCTATTGTATTTTCACCATTTCACATTAGTATTCTCATTTTGTTTGATGACCTGACGGAATATCATTCTCCAAACATTGATCCAAATCTCCTGGAATAAATACTGTATGTGGATCATAAATGGTCCATTTTTTCCTGTCCCTGTTACATCTGACATTAATGATTTTTACTATTCTGTTGCAATAATGCAGTCGTCCTCCAAGAGCGATTATGAATAGCAGACTACCCAACCAGCAAATAAAAAAAAATGTTTGAAGTCATTCCAAATGATACTTGAATGGCAAATTACAAAGTTCAGAGGCATAAACAGGGACAGGAAAAATGTCACACTTTGGACCATAAATTTATAGAATGACCCACCTACATACGTGCATATGTACATTGTACATGTGCTCACATAGATACTACATGTACCTGTACATGTGCATGATGTTCATATATTGTTAAGAGCCCATTAACATAAATAGTTTTGTTTTTTATCTCTGCCCAGATCAGTTTTGGCGATGGCACGAGATGAAATTTAAATTTCAAGAGTTTTTTTTTCTAAAATTGATAACTGCTATTTGTTCATGGAGGCATGTACATGTACATTGTATGTACACTTTGTAAAATTGTATTGTACCGTAGTTGGTAGCAGATGGACAGCATTTTGTATTGCTTACTGTTACAGTAAGTTATTCCCATGTACAAAACAAAACAAAATTCATTACACATGTACATGTATGCCCATTGCCTCCATCATTTTGTCCGGACTATTTCATGATAAACTAACAGTTTATTTGTCATGGTCTTGTATTGTCGTCTTGTCGTTATATTGATTTATAATTTTCGGTGGTTACAATACATAAAACGTAGGCCTGCATGTTTGTACTTTCGGAAACGGCCACTATTCACAGGTAGAATTGACCTCTCGAAATTGGAGTGTCCGACAAAAGAACACAAGGGCATTCCCCTAGGGCATGACATCACTGTTGACTCTAGACACGTTGGCCTGCATTGTTGATATGATGAATAACCCCACAGCTATGCCCCAGCGGAATACAATGCGCATACAATTACTAATAATCCTTTGTTGGGCTAGGTTTTGTTAGATCTATTTGTCATGTAATTCTGGGTAACCCATTTAAAAGGCATGTCTGAATATGAGTATTTTGTGTGGACATGGTGGACGGGGTGTACAAATTATTGAAGAAAATATTTTTGGCTTGCTAAACAATTTTTTTTGTGTAAAAAGCTATGTTTTATTGTAATTTTGAATGTTTGCCCTGTGCTCTGTGGTTTGCAGGCATTTTGGTAGAAAATTTTGTAGAAATTTTCAAACTTGTATTTACTGCAAAAGCAGTTAATGCATTTTCTTTGAAAAAGATGGCTATTAATTTTGTAGCAGTTATGCTGACAAGTGTAATGCGTAAACTGCAAGATTTCAGTTGATTTCAAATGACTTGATATGTCAGAATCGATAATTTCATTAACATTTCTGAATGCAGTAAATGCAAGTTGTATTCAGTACATGTTACACCACATTTTCTTGCTCTATAATTATGCGCGCATGGCAAATTATCATAAAAGAAAGATTATAGCAGCAGTTTCGCATCGTTAGTTTTACTGCTTAGGATAATGAGGAACTACTCTCACTTTCTGAGAATCATCACCCACATTAACTATTGTAGTGTGCATAATTCTGAATAACTTGGAACACATGCGTAGGCAGTGTGCATTGGTGCGTAAAATTTGACTTGGAGTCTATGCTGTCAATCTGAACACTCTGCAGTGACTCATGTACCTGATATTTCACAGTTTATTGGAAAGACTCAAGGTTGTTACCTGAACGAATTGAGATGTGCTGGGCAGGTGTCATCTCATGGGGAAGAGTGTTGTCTGCCTCTGGTCTCTAACTGGTAAAATTTTGTTGCCAAGTCCAAAAAGATCCAATAGCAAAAATTTGTTAGGGATTTTGTTTTATCTTTAGTAGCAGGAAACAAAAGATCCTTTGTTCTTGCTGTTTGACCCTATCACTTCTATGACAGAGGCCCCCTTCAATGGCCAAAGTATTGTGTTAGCTATAGATTAAATCGGCGACAGCGAGTTGCACTCAGATAGTATGCACGCAGCCACGCACTCCGAGCTCCTTCGACCAATGGGGTTACAAAAATGCTCACGTGTCTTGTCTTTAGGAACACTTACGGCATGCACGCTAATGTGGTTCCACCTCAAAAAATTGCTTCTAATTTTAAATGAGACTTGAGGGTTGCATGGTGGAAAGATCATTAAGTGAGAGGTTTGCGGTAACACCACGTGGAAATATCTTTTGTGTGAGTATTTGTGGTTCTTAGAGTCAATCCAACTGGTTCTCTTCAGAACCACATTTACTCACAAAAGAGATATTTCCACATGGTGTTACCGCAAACCTCTCACTTATTGCTTCAAATTTTGTTCGCCGAATTAGTGTTTTGTTCAGATAATTCACCATGGGGTTGTTGCTGTGCACAATAACTTGCACAGTGCTTTCGCTATTGAACATTGTACATGTATACTCAATGTTGCCCCCAGTGGTTGTGATAACAAAAATCACTTAGGTGGGACTCGAACCCACGACCTCCTGCCTACTAGCTCAGACGTCTTGCCACTCGACCACCAAGCTTTCCAGGGTCTGGCTGGCAGATATTGAAGAGGACCTCGTGAGTCGTGTGTGTACAGTGATCATTTGCCCGAATTTAGATTGTGGGGTCAAATTCAATTCAGTTTGCGCCAAGATAAACCATGTCATACATGTAGCTCCATTGTTAAACAATAATTTCAGACTTTTTCAGGAGTTTATCTTTATAAAGAGTTGAGGCAATGAGGACGTTGTTTTGTTTTTTAACATGGTTTCTTTCCCATAATAAAGGATTTTTTTTATGAATAATGGCAGCTCTGTAAATTACAAGTTACGGACAGGCTTAGAAGAAAATATATCACTCTTTTATGCATAGGTTAATTTACACCTGAATTATTATAATACATCATCATCATTATCATTTTGACCTCAGTCTACATTACCAACATCACTGAACTGTAACAGAATTACAGAATTATAATACTTAGTTTTCTGCACTCTTCCGTTCATGACGTGTCTTGCGTTCAGAATAAAATCTTGCAGTTGTTGGTTTACTAGACCCAGACCTACAAGATTTTAGTATGACTTTAGCCTGTTTTACACTCCAGTGCCCTTGGACTCGACCCTTCAGCCTTGAAGTCAATTTTCTGGGTTTTTTTCCTTCCAATTTTGAGACCAAGATGACATTCCCAGAAGCTATAATTACTTTAATACCCCGCTTGGATCGATATTTGCAGTCCCTTTGGCGCATTTAAAATGATTGCAACTTCCAGCCGCCGATTTCACACGCAAGCCGCTTATTACAAGAACCAAGGGAGAGAGGGGGGGGGGGGGGGGGG